ATTTTTATCAAACTGCCTGGTAACACATTACGACTTTTTCCCCAAGTAGCACTCCAAGACAAACATACATATGGGAATGTACACCCTATTAAAATATATCTAAAAATGCGATAAATGGGATCATTTCCATACTATGTGAAAACTACTGTAGTTGGAGTTAGACACCCTCTGAATACCGTAGGTGGATTCATCTCGCTTATCCAAAAAGTAGGTGTTTAGTCAAATGGGATGAATCAACTCACCTTTGACTACTAAGAGAGCTTACAAAATTAGCCTAGTTGAGTGTCTATCTTTTAAATAAATAAATTTAAGATCATGTCTTCTTAATGTCATGGCCACAGTGAAGAGAAGGCTAAATTGACAAAATGTTTGAGAAGGTGTGGATGCAGAATTTGTGCCTGGGAGTACATAAATTTATCTTTTTTCGTCCAGTGATTTTAGTTCTTTTGGAGAGTTGAGTGGCGGTTTTCAGAAGCTGATGAATCATGGGCCTCTGAACATGTCAGATCAGACAGGCCCCTTCATCCTCCGGGAGAGTTGTGTGGCAAGAATGCGTGGGTTTGCGATTAGACCCAAAATGTGAAATCCCTGAATCCTTTCCTTAGCAAAGGTATGAGTCGACATACCAGATGTACACATCGCAGTGGCGAGATGAATGCCTAGGCAGGCACAGAAGAGAATTTTACAATGAGATTATGGGAGAAAGTGTGACTGTTTAGGAAGGAGCTACGTGCAGATGAAAGGGATCAGCTGCCACCTACCTCCAGTACCTTATTTGCCAGTCAAAGAGCGGCAGGGCGTGCACTGGCAGCATGAGGCTTCACGTGGCCAAAGCTCCTTCTTACTGAACTTGTAGGTCTTGTTTTGCCTAACCCTTTGTTGTTTTAAGAATGCAAGTTAGCCTGTTTAAAGACAGCTCAGGCTGTAGCTTCAGATGGGCCACTGCTTCTTAAGCCATTTTATGAGATCCAATTCAGTTCACCACGCTGGCAACCAAACAAGAGTCCTGGGGCTTGCACAAGGGCGGACACAGCTGGGGAAGCTGCTTAAGCTAACACTGCTACCACAGTCTAAAACGTATCAATACTGTGTTGCTCTCATAACAATAAGTGGCCTTTAACTAAAGAAACTCATAAAACAATGGGCAGCAAAACCTCCCTCCTTAGCTACATCTGGCACACAGGGCAGATGCCACTAGTGTTTCAGCTATTTGTTTTAAAAATGAACTTAGCCATATATAATGAAAACCCACAATAAATTAAAAAATAGCATACAAGCCTTAAAAACAGTTTCCAGGAGTAAACCATCACTAGGTAATACAAACAGATGTGCAGTCATCTACAGACAAGGCAGGCAGGGCA